ATATCCAATAGAATACAGTAATTTGACAAAGGTTAGAAATATAAGCACAATATTTATCACTGTTTACAACACAGAACACAGGCCCCAAGCAACCAAACCAAATGTACAATGTGGGCTTCCAGTGCCGCTACTGCTGACTGAACAAGAATAGAATTCGTATCAAAACCTTTGGGTTTCCAACTCTACATAGACGATAGTCTCAACTACTGGAACTTCTGGCTACTAAATCTAAATCGATTGTTTGAACGCCCAACATTTATGAACACTGTGAAGTGTCCATCAACCAAATCGTGGTCACATTAGATATATTTTAAGAACGCTTCTACGGCCCGGGGCTGAAGCTGTGTCAAATTGTGTCAAATGTTTATCGGATGAAAATCATTCTGCAAGTTTTGTACAGCCATATATAATCTGTGTAGTCTTTAATGTAACTCTTCATAATTATCACTTACTTTACATGAAACTATTTCGGTTCACCCTCGTAGTCTATAGGAATATTTATGAAAAAACAACTTCAAAATACGATCACAGTATCATGTAGCACCAGAGCGAAGCAAGTAAGCCTCATTATACAGAACACACATGTCATACATAGGTTTGTGGGACAACAGCGGCCTACATATGTCTGCCATGCTTAAACACTCCCTATCTCAATCATAGCCCTGTGTATATAATACAAACACGTCTCTCTAATGAGTGTTGATGTTTCCAGAACGTTACTAACGGGAAAACACATGATTACAAATGCACACAATCTCATAAAGCTCGTAACTTGTTGTTCTTTCTGGAACACACTTAACTCATTTGCACAAACCAAACCTACAGTGCGAGCTGTGGTATTTGTTTTCATATGCAACCTTACTCAACCTTACCTTTACGACTAGTTAAACATCAAAGCGTTTTAGCTTTGTTCACATTGATTGTTGAGATCGTGTTTGACACAGCTTCTTACCTGTCGCCTGTAGCGTCTGTGGTCTCGTACTTCAGTGCTACAGGTACTGTCTCATGAACACACGTTCTATACATATACACCACACCTGGAACTATGCCAGTTTTACAACATCCCTACATGATGGCATGCTTGATCCGGGCAGACTAACGAATACCTTCTCCCTGGAGTATGTATATGAGCTATCGTTACCTGATCTTACCTTCTCATTGCGAGCAGTTGGGCTAAATACTTGTTCAGGGCAGGTGTGTTTACTCAATTGGGAATGGCGAATTTGACTTTCGTAATGGACGCCTTTACATAAGTGTACCACGAACACGGATGTACAAAATATGTGAGAGGAGTTTTAATTGAGGGAAGTCTTAGACAAGTTATAACCGTCACGTGAAGGAACAGGAAGGATGGTCCTGAACCTGATATGGACGAGTGACAGGTGTTCTCACAGCCTTCGTCTACTGACCTGGAATGCGGAGTGAATATGGTATCGTGATATGTACTCCATGACCTAAAATCCTTATCCTTATTTTAGCTATCGAGAAATACTTGTCTTTTTACAGCCAGTGCTAATTAGGAGATAAACCTACTGTGTTTTGAAATTTGATGTAGTCCCACTGTAGAGTAGATACCTCTTTATTTCAATTTTGAACCGAGCGCTTTACTCGGCGTGTATTAGAGACCTGGCTGGTATTGAGGACCCATCGTGTATCGGAAATAAAGATTCGTTCTACAGTTTATATGGGGTTGATTGATCGTCAGCCATTTTTTATGAAAAGGCTTAATATATTTGAAAGGCGTTTCCGTAGCAAAAAGGAAACCTCTTTGTAACCAATCGAGAATCAAGCATTCATCACTGTCATGGTAGCATGGAAATTATACAGAATAATAGAGTGAGCGAGTTTGGTTTAACGCCCGTTTTAACCGTACATTTACCACTTTGCTGTTTAGCTTCAAAAACAGAATTTGTTTTAGATATCATTTAACATGTTACATGTATGCAATGTAGGTTTAAGTTTGTTTTTATATTTAATTACTAATATCTCACTAAAGATACACATAGCAGACTGCTGAAGAGACATGCATACACATTATTGCGCGTTGCATTCGAATAATTATATTCGCTTTGAAAACAAGGTTGATTCCTTCTAACCTTTAACAGTCGAAATACTTTTGAGATGGCCCCTCATGTCTCTAGCTGTATCAGCGGTTCCTCAGAACCGATGCAGGATTATCATAGGATCAGTATTTACATTACCAACATCTTGTGACTGGGAATTGTTTTGAGATGGTTGGGGGAAAGAGAATTTGAACCTTATGTGATGGGATGAGAGTATGATTCTTCACAGACGTCCTTTAGGACCAACGGTATGTCCGACGTGGAAGTTCACGCTCTCGTTTCAGGAACACAAGCAGCCATTGATGTGGGATTTGTTTACTGGTGTAAGATGTAAGTAGGGCATCAGCGATTCAGATCAGGGATTAGGCAGCAAAACAAAATGTTTCTAAATAGTGAGGAAGAAGGTAAGACTGTTAATGTTTTGTTGTTGAAAACATAAGTTTCTCACCAAGAATACTTACACACAATCGGGAACACATTGAACACAGCTCTACAATTATGAATACAATGAGAGCTGTCAAGCGTCTAAGTTTGTGGCATATACATTGAACACGGCTTTATAATGAATACAATGAGAGCTGTTAAGCGTCTAGGTTTGTGGCATATACATTGAACACGGCTTTATAATGAATACAATGAGAGCTGTCAAGCGTCTAAGTTTGTGGCATATACATTGAACACGGCTTTATAATGAATACAATGAGAGCTGTTAAGCGTCTAGGTTTGTGGATAACAGGGTATGCTTCATATGACGTGGGAAGTTTGCAAAAATGTTAACATTTGCAATGAAAATGACAGACGCGTAGGGTGTGAATCTGGCATTCTCCATTCATAATTGTTTCAGTTTATTCCAAACACACCCAAGTTCCAGTAAATCAGCCATGGGATTAAATTGGTAGCCACGACTATCTGAAATCATGATTTGATCTCTTTAATTCAACACGTACATGTATGCCATTACTCGGTGCCTAGGATTATATTATATTACTAGGAAACTGGTTTAGGGTACCAGGTACGTTTCTGTATTTTGATTTTTGCTAGGGTACATTTCTGTATACAGAAACGTACCTGGGGTATATTTCTCTAGTACCTGTGCCGACAACGGCCCCTTCAGCACCACTTAGGATAAAGGCAGTGACGTCATTGACAAACAGAACGTGAATATTTCTGAAATATATATCAGGAATATGAAATATCAAAATGATGAACTGGTTGTGAAGATCCGGTCCAAGAAAATATTGGCATGGCGTCATTGTCACATGATCTAGGAATTATTCGCTGATGAGAGGAGTGGGATGCACGTGCACCTTCAGGGAGTTTTATTTCAACAAATAGGACAATATCAATCGGGAGATGCACAGCATATCGATAACAAACGGGGAGTTTTTATTCCCATCGTAATCATAATCGTATTGATTTCTGCTTTTGTAATGAAAGCAAGTCGATGCAATCTCCATTACGAGACAACAATATGTTCAGAATAACGTCACCTTCGAAAGGCTTACACATGGAACGGGCATCGGTGCGGCTCTTTCAATCCATTTTCATTACCAATAAACAAATGGTTGTAAAATTCCTGCATCATATGACTAAAAATTCAGAGCGATGAACCAAGCATTTCTATAACATAATCTCTTCTAAAAGCAGAGTCTATTGTATGATGCTGACTATATCATAAAGCAAGTGTCTATGAATCACCATCAGATAGTGATGTTACAAGATGTGAACGTATCCTGCCAAACCGGTGGCACCCATCACAAACGCATGTAAAGGCATATCAGTCGTTTGAGAAGGGCCAACATTGACATAAACTGGGAAACGTTTATGTCCCTAACACCTTAAACATTTCTTACAAGAAGTTACCACGTGGCTGTCCGTGTCCCTAACACCATAGACACTTCTTACAAGAATTCCCACTAAGCTATCATCTGTGTCCCTGACACCTTAAACATTTCTGACAAGAGTTTACCACTTTGTTGTCTGTGTCCCCAATACCTTAGACGTTTCTTACAAGAATTTACCACTTCGTTGTTTGTGTCCCAAACACTTTAAACATGTCATACAAGAATTTAACACTTGGCTGTTTGTGTCCCTAACACCTTAAACATGTCATACAAGAATTGACCACTGGGCTGTTTGTGTCCCCAACACCTTAAACATGTCATGCAAGAATTGACCACTTGGTTGTCTGTGTCCCTAGCACCTTAAACATGTCATACAAGAATTTACCACTTCGTTGTCTGTGTCCCTAAGACCTTACACACTTCTTACAAGAATTCCCACTTAGCTATCATCTGTGTCCCCAACACCTTAAACATTTCTTACAAGAATTTACCACTTGGCTGTCTGTGTCCCCAACACCTTGAACATTTCTTACAAGAATTTACCACTTCGTTGTCTGTGTCCCTAAGACCTTACACACTTCTTACAAGAATTCCCACTTAGCTATCATCTGTGTCCCCAACACCTTAAACATTTCTTACAAGAATTTACCACTTCGTTGACTGTGTCCCTAAGACCTTAAACATTTCTTACAAGAATTTACCACTTCGTTGTCTGTGTCCCTAAGACCTTAAACATTTCTTACAAGAATTTACCACTTGGCTGTCTGTGTCCCCAACACCTTAAACATTTCTTACAAGAATTCCCACTTAGCTATCATCTGCGTCCCCAACACCTTAAACATTTCTTACAAGAATTTACCACTTCGTTGTCTGTATCCCTAACACCTTAAACATTTCTAACAAGAATTTGCTACTTGGCTGTCTGCGTCCCCAACACCTTAAACATTCTTACAAGAATTTACCACATTTCCCAAACACGTCAGATACGTCTAATAAGAATTTACCGGACTGCGGGACACTTCAGACCTTCACTATCACCATAGATGCAAGGAGAGTAATGATCGATCTAAATTATTATAAATAATGTACTAACCTTATGCTGGTGATTAGTTTTCTGCAAGTTGAAATCAGTCCTAAAGTTCTTTGAGTAACAGTCTCGCAGTAACAGACGGTTTTATTTACTGACGAATTCGTAGTGAACATTACGCCGACGCTGCCGACCACACGAGACAGACATTCCATTGTTGCTTAGCAATACGATAATAGATGTGGGCTGAAGTAGCTGACATGCTATGGGAGAAGGAAAGTTTCTCCTTCGATACTCGCCGAGCAATGTTGCCAATGTTACAGAATCACATCCATTGTTCTGCCACTGTCGCCGCGGGATGACTTGTCTGATGATTCATACTTGTATCATTATGATGACATTTGGCAATGATAAGAAATATGTGCACTGAATATTAATGAACATATATCGGGATTGTTCGTACTCGCATAGACATATTTACGCCATTCTCCATCAAGGGGACTGGTCGTAACTCACGTTGTCAGCTTGATGTCAGTAGAAAATGATGAACATCAAAGCTGTTACCCGGAGAGTGTTACTGCCCTTGCCGAGGGTGCTGTTGAATAAAGGATATGTATTATATCAAATAGTCATGCGTCCCTGTTGTGTGGTTTGCAGAGCATGTACTCTCTTTAAATTAGCAACACTTCTATATAGATTGCATATATTTAATATTCTAGGCAGCATCAATATCCTTTATGTCTTTACAAACCGTCATTTCATCAATCACTGTCATTGGTTCATCAGACACCCTCGCTACAACAGCCAAGCTGCGAATAGGTGCAAGATTGCTGAAGAAGCGTTAAGCAATATTCACTCATTCATACAACTGAAAAACTTTGCTTAAAAGGCATCTTTGCTTCATTAACCGTTATTAATTATTTTCGTGTTATACCTTCAATAACCCTTATCATTTTTAGGCCATCGTGTTTTAACCTGCATTATTTCAAGAGCCGTCATATCATCAATACCGTTACTGCTTTAATAGTCACACCAAGGATTCAGAACTATTAACGATCATTGCTTACCATATTGCCGCCAATGCTCTAATATCCATCACTGCTTTAATAAACTGCCATTGATTCAACAACAGTTATTTATTCGATAGCCACCATAGTTTTAATAACAGCAATTGCTTCAAATGTCATAGTGTTACGTTAGCTGGCTTTGCTTTAGTATCCAAACAGGCTTGATTGTTACAGTAGCCAGTCTCGCTTTAATATGCTAGATGCTTCAATATAATTGCTTGCTGCAATTTGCGAGATTGCTTCACTATGCCAGATATAAGTCAATATGATCGCTTAAAAATGAGATAGCTTCAATATTATACATTGCTTAAATATGCTAGATAGCTTCAATATTATACATTGCTTAAATATGCTAGATAGCTTCAATATTATACATTGCTTATGATACATGTAGGTTAATATTTCTGTTTCCATATATGCGATCCCGTGAAGACCCGGAATAAAATTGATCTTTAGCAACCCATGCTTGTCGAAAAAGGTGATTAACGGGAGCGGCCGAACAGGCTCGCTGACTCGGTTGATGCATGTCATTGTATACCATTTGCGTAGATCGATGCTCATGATGTCAATCATTGGATTGTCTAATCCAGACTCGATTATTTACAGACCGCAGTCAAATAGCTGGAATACCGAGGAGTGCGGCGTGAAACAACACACAAATAAACATGTTTCAATATGTCAAATTGCTTCAACTGCTTGGTCGCTTGAAAATAATGTTTACAAATCGGCAAACATTTCAATATCCATGAGTCCATTGCGTGGAAGTATGGGTGACTGTTCCATGTTGACTGATCACTGCACATGAACATGTGCGCCGGTTTAAAACAACTGATTTGCTGACTGAACTCATTCACGACCGATCCCAGATCCCACAGTTTTCAGATCAGCTTCTGATACATTGAAACTAATGGTATTGGCCATTTAAATGATTATTTAAACTCTAGTCAAGTAAGACATTTTTTAAACTGTTTATCTGTGGGTGTGTCTCTTATGGTAAAACCAGGGTAATACATCATGCCACTCCCTCAACTGCCACATACGTAAATATAAAACGTAAACGCTGGAGAACAACCAGTCTATGTTTTCCCCGAGATAAAGGCAAACACCTGTTTTAGTTCCAATTTTTGTAATCCTTAAAACATATAAGATATTAGATTTTTTGGGGTCATAATTATTCATTTGACACTTTGGTATTTGCAATAGATATCATGATCTGTGCCCGCCATCACCCTTAAATACACGATCAGAGATGATGTTTAATGTATTGCGGGAACCGAGCAGCACTGAGTGAGTGAGTGAGTTACGATTTAAAGTCACATCGGCAATATTTCAGCCATATAGTGACTAAATCAAGTTATACATTAATACATATAGACATTAAAATCTGTCGACAAGGGACAGTAAAATCACTAGACTATCACAGATATAGATTTAAAACTAGCATGTTACCATAAAAATCTGACTATTTTCAACAATACATTATAAAATGAGCTATGGATCACCAGCAACCAAAGTTAGGCCACCATACTAGGGACCATGGGGACTTACGCTACATCTGCTTCCTGCATGGTACCCCAGCAGGATTTACACGAGCAGCACCGAAGCCATCTCGTCAATATCAATCGAAACACGCTACCGAACCTTGACACCATTTTCATTAATTTTACTCTATGTACAGGTTCTAATTACTTTATATTGATTTTCCTAATTTGTTCTGACACGATTTTCGTCCTAATAGCTCGTGTTCTAGTTCATACCATTGTCGGCTTTGGTTTTAACGCCGACAGCTGTAAACAGGTAAATATAAACGTTAACAATTCAACCTTTCAGTTCAAAAAATCACCTGTATCCGGTTTCCTACTGCCATCTGATGGGGAGCGGCATTGGTGGGCGAGAAGCTACATTTCACAATTGATGTGTAATGACCCACCTAACAAAGAACAAAGGTCTTGAATATTTGCTGTGAGATCCACCTTGTTTAGTCCATCACGGATGTTCTCATGACAGAAACCATTAGTCAACCCAATCCTGTAAATACTAGATGTTTATAGATGTCATGCTGATATGTTGAGCGTGTTGAGTTCATCACTATCCTCACACGAGAAACTTTAAATTATCGGACAACCCGCGATTCACTCAGGGGATAGGAATTCCTTCAATAAATGTTTCAGGAAAACGTACATGTACATACAATTTGTACAATTTGACATCACCAGACACTATAACATCACATAACCCGCAACACCTTATGTATGAACCGTAAAATGTAGATATAGTTTGCAGAAATTAGTTAAGCAACACCCGTTTATTCTCAGACCGGGCAATCTTAATGAACTAGTGCATGAAATGTGTAAAGGATTTCCATTCCAAATAAATTATTTAGTGAAAAGTTGGTTTGTTGGTTTGTTGTTTAACGCCGCACTCACCAATATTCCAGCTATATGACGGCGGTCTGTAAATAATCGAATCTGGCCCAGACAATCCAGTGATTAATATCATGAGCATCGATCCACGTAATTGGGATCGATGACATGCATCAACCAAGTCAGCGAGCCTGACCACCCGATCCCGTTAGTCGCCTTTTACGATAAGCATAGTCACATTTTACGGCAAGCATGGGTTAAGAAAGGGTTGAGGAGGAACACAGCCATGATTACCATGAAATAATGTTTTTTGGAGATGTTACAGATGAATTAATTTCATCCAAAAAAATTACGAATGTCACTTTTGTTGCACAGACTAAACTGTCAGTACCATGCACACTTCTGGTTCACGGAATTGACGAACAATTTCCTGCAAGTCCAAATATTGACTTTCCATAAAATCTTGTGTAACCTCCCTGAACCCGAACAACTGCTTCAAACGCCTCCTCATTCTGTGTATCAATCTCTGGATTTGATTCTGAGGAATTCTGTCCCATTTCTCATGCAAAGCAGCAGTCAATTCATTGAGCGTATTGACATGTGGGTCTCTTTGTCGAGAATTGGACAGAATGGGGCAGAATTCCTCAGAATTAAATCCAGTGATTGTTCTCGCAGGATTCCAACGACACACAATGAATGGATACCACAATAGTTTCAACATACTATCCCTTGATACTGTTACATCTCATAACTCGTGCATACAGAGTTATTGAGAGAAATGCCAATAATTATATCATCATACAATATGTGATCCAAGCGTTATTAATTTTGTACTATACATTACGCTAACAACTACAAATAAAGAGTAGGTGAGTGAGTGAGCTCGAGTGTGTTGGGTTTAACGCCACTTTTAACAATATTCCAGTTATATCACGGCGTGGCAGCTTGATGTCGGAGGAAAGCCCGAAGAGATGCAGGTCTTAGACGTTTACCACTTCGGCGAAACCCACGAGCATGATGCTGACAAACTAAGAAACATAATCGGGGCGAACCGGGATTCGAACCCACAATCATATGTTTCTGGCGTCGTCAAGGAACGCAACTCTGCACAGCGAATCGCGGCGCCTTAGACGACTGGGCCATCCGTGCCCCCCAGCCCCACCCCCACCCCCACCCAGAGTGGGTGACCTGGTGAGGACGTGTTGACAGTAGTTCAGTTATAATTACTACTCTTCAAACAATAATGGCCAGGACTGTTTTGAACTTGATATGTTTGCAATAAGAGAATACTTGCAGTAAAAAACCCCAGTCTCTTCTCAACTTAACATTTCCTAAAAGCTCCCAAACTCCTAACATGCCATGTGCTTCAAACCCGAATACATTATTATTAGACCTTGACCTTAATCAAGGTAACAAGTGCAACACAAACTGGAATTGAAAGATACAACCATGTTTTGCAATTGCACCAAAAATTACCGTGACCTTTGAAAGACGTGGTAGGATTTGTAACGATTGGTTGGTTGGTTTGTTGTTTAAAGCTGCACTCACCAATATGCAAGCTACATGACGGCGGTCTATAAATAATCGAGTCTGGACCAGACAATCCAGTGATTAATATCATGAGCATCAATCCACGCAATTGGGATCGATGACATGCATCAACCAAGTCAGCGAGTCTGACCACCCGATCCCGTTAGTCGCCTCTTACGTCAAGCATAGTGGCGATTTGTAAAGAAACATGCAAATATAAAGTTATAACCTGTCTTAATATAAACCTGTCTTAAGCTTAACTAGAACAGTGTTTTCATTACATTCAAAAACATAAGCTACATTTTCAGAATGACATTGTTGATCGATTCAGATCTGAGGATGACCAGGTTTCATTGGCCTGCAGTAAATCCCCTTCCTAGAGGCTGGCATTGCCTCTTGACATAACTTATCAATG